AATGTCCCACACACGCGACAGGCGAAGGTCGCAGGAGGAGTCGGTCAAGGCTTTAGCAAGTGCGCGACACAAAGCCTTGGGTTACGGCTGAGCCACAGCCGTCCAAAACTGGCCTCCTGAGGCCTTGCCTTCAAGGACCTGATGCCTACATTCAGTCCTGTCTACCGTGGCACTTGCGCTCGAGGGGCTGACAAGAAACGTGCCTGAGGCGGGGCCGAGTTATTTTCCTCCTCGGTTCCCCCACATGCAGAAATCAGTGTAAACATCATGAACGGATCTCAGACGACTCAAACCGATGACAGGCGGACAGCGCCATAAACGTGAAAACGCAGGGTTCTCAAGCCCTCCAGGGATCCCCCTTTTATGAGCGAGCTTAGCGAGGAAAACAGAAACTCGCATTAGCTTGTTGCCTAACTGGACTTTGGCTCGATCGGAGGGCGACAAATCAGGAAGCCCGGGGGGGGGGGGGGGGCTCGTTGGACCGGAGAGGTCCAGGGCCTGACTTCGTCAACCTGCGAGCCATCGAAAACGACGTGCACGGGGTCCCTAACAAGAGAATGCAAACTTCGCCACTCAGAACCCATCCTGTCAACGTCTCTAGACTGGCCGCCTTGGCAAGGTCAAATGCAGCTCCTCGAACGATGTCCCACTCGAGGGCCTGGGTGCCACGGGCTCTGAGGGCGGCGGAAAGACGGCCCGAGCCCGAGAAGACTTCGACGGCGACCCGCTCTCGCCCCAGCCGGACACGGCTGAGCGCAGCATTGAGCTGCGCCCGAACAGCTCGGGGAGCCTCTGCGCGCTGAGGCGCAGCCGCTACTGAGCGATTGTGGGCACCTTTGCCGTCTGCAGTGCGAGCCGGCCGTGCTTCTCGTACCTGCGCGCGGACAGCTGGGCGCGCCAGCGTGCGCCGTTGGCCGCCTCCTCGAGCGACCGCCTTCCCGCGATCCTGTCGCGGCCGGCACCCCCGCGCCGCAGGCAGTTGAGCGCGGCGCCCATCCCCCGCAGGCCCAGAGCCGCCAGCGCCTCGTCGAACTCTGCGCGCAGCTGAGCGCACCCGAAACTCCACGGCGGCGCGCGAGGCTGCAGCCGTGCTTTCAGCCCGCGCAGCGCCGGCGCGAGCCGCAGCAGCTCGGGCGCATCCAGCCGGGGCGAGTCGTCGAGCTCTCCCGTCTTGCTGGGCACGCGAATTTCCTCGGGGCGCAGCAGCTCCCACCAATGGAAGCCGCCGCGCAGACCCTGCGCGGGCGGCGCCAGCTGGAAAACCTTCATTCCCAGCAGCTCTCCTGGTCGCAGGTAGCAGTGGAACATGAGACTGAGCGCGCACGCCATCCCGAGCTGGCCCTTGCAGCAGGATCTCCAGGGCGCCGCGTAGGACAAGCCGTGGCAGGGGCAGGCGAGAATGCCCGGGCCGCTTGCGCCCCCAGCCCAGCAGCGCCCTGCTGCTCCGAGGCAGCGCCACGCGCAGCGGCCGCCCCAACGCCAGCCTCGCCCACGGCGCGGCCGACATCAGCTTCGAGGCCCTGTCGGGTCGCCCCCCCGCCCCCCCCCCCCCCGAAAACTCGTCGCCCAAGTACCGCAGCAGCCCATCGCCCTACTCCAGGGCACTCCAGATTGGCCGCGTCTCCAAGCCCAGCCAGGCACAGAGGCCACTCAGGCAGCGCAGGCAGTTCCGCTGCGTCGAGGGCCTCACTGCCCCCAGCTCTAGGCCCGACGCGCTCGAGCCCAGGAGGCGGTGCCGCGGCAAGACCGTCGTCGGCAGGGGGGCAACGGCGGCGGCTCGACGCCCGGCACGGGGCCCCGCCGCCCCGGCGCCCACGCTGCCCGCTGGCGCGCCTGAAGCCCGGGGCGGCAGCCCCCGAGGCGCCAGCGCACGCGGCGGCGGCGCAGGGAGCCTTCGGCGGTCCATCCCCCCACAACCGACGAGGCTCGAACCGCCTCGAAGGGCCGTCGGCGGGGCCCCACTCGGAGGGAACCCATCGGACAGTCACTCGACACGAAGAGGCAAGTTGAAGCGTGGTGGAATGACGCAACTGGGAAAAAATTGGAAATCCGATGCTCGCCCTTTTGCTACTGCGCAGCAGATGCACATGCTGTCCGACAGAAAGAGGAGCCTGCGCCCACGGTGCGAAGAGGACCTGCAAAAGACGGCGGGCACGCCGCGGCGCCCTCTCGCAAGGCGCGGGCCCGCGAGCCCTCGGCCACCGGCCCCTGCCCCAAGACGTAGGTTGCGCTGAGGAGACTCATCACCTCGCGGCGCAGCAGGAGCGCGCACGTCAGGCGGCCGATCAAGCGCTCCAGCTCGGCGCCCGTCAGGAGTGGGTGCGTCGGGGCGCAGTCCAAGCTCGGGGCCAGCCGCCAGAACCGCTTGGGCGCGATGTGGATCGCTCCCTTCTCGCCGTCGATGCTGAACCCAAGGAGGTCCACGTCGACTTGCGGTCCAGAGACATCGTGGGTGCCCAGCCCGCGGCCCCTCAGCTGTCTTCCATCGAGTCGCCCTCCACCTGAACTGACCCCTCGTCGGTCCCCAGTGCTGCGAAGTTGTCGACGCAGAGCAGTGCGGCAGGCTCCCGCTCGGCGACCGACGGCGCACAGCGACGGTCGCAGATCCAACGGCGAAGCCCACGCGGCCCCACCCGCAGCAGCTCCGCGTTGGCCGCCTGCACGAGCGCCACGGCCCAGCTCCAGCCCATCGGCACCACGCGAACCTGGAAGTGGGCCTGGTCGGCGGTGCTCGGGAACGGAGCGCGCAGGCGTGACGGCAGCGCGCGTCGGGGCACTGGCGGCAGCGCGAAGTCGGCCCCCAGGTGCTCGGGCAGCAGGAACTGGCAATAGCAATTCTCGACATCCCCCTCGGAGACCCATAGACGATGCCCGGCAGGCAATTCCACGTCTCCCAGCGCCTCCGGCGAGGCTAGAGCAACTCCATCAGGTGGTATAGACTGAGCGTTGGTCTTGCGAGGATCGAAGATGATCCGCAACGAGCCGTCCTTCTTACGCGCGAAAAAGACTCCCACCAAAACTGCGAACCTCGGTCGCCCGTTCGACGACACCCGATTCGTAGGCACCATTCAAAAACTCAGCGAGCTTGCCAGGGAACCTCGCCAGAATAGGACCCATCGCGGAGCCAGCCTCGTCCGCCATCGCCGAGGTGTCCTGTGCGCCCGCCGCAGGCAGCCGAACGGCACGGCCGCTATCCCCCAGCAACTTCTGGTAGTGGTCGGGCAGGCAACCGACAAGATCGATGGCCTGGCTGCCGACCGCCGGCAGAGCAAGCCCGCCGCGCTGGTAGGTCGCGAACTCTCCAGCAACGGCGCCGTCGAAGGCGTAGCCGGAACCGCGGCCCCGGAGCCGCAGACCACGCTCTCGAGGCGGTGAGGTCGTCGGGCGGCGGCGGGACGGCGTTGCAGGCCCGGGCCAAGCTGGCCACTGCCTGGCGCTGGATGGCACCAGGCATCACCTTGGGCCTCCATACCTCGCCACTGCCGCCCAGAGTGTTGAGCGTCGCGATGCCGCCCCGCAGCCGCGCCCCCGCCGCTCGACGACGAGCGCGTCGTCTCTCCGCGCAGCGCGACACCCCCACCCATGCCTGCACCCGAGCGTGGGTGCGCTGCCGCTGCCAACCCGCCGCGCGAGCACCCCGCTCGCGCGGCCCTTCCAGGGAGGGGTCCTCCTACTTGTCCTCCTCCTCCTCCTCGTTTTCCTCGTCCTCCTTCTCCTCCTCCTCCTCCACCTCGTCTTCCTCCTCCTCCTCCTCGTTTTTCCTCCTCCTCCCTCCTCCTCCTCCTCCTCCTCCTCCCTCCCCTCCTCCTCCTCCTCCTCCTCCTCCTCCTCTTCTCCTCCTCTCCTCCTCCTCCTCCTCCTCCTCTCCCGCCTCCTCCTCCTCCCTCCTCCTCCTCTTCCTCCTCCTCCTCCTCCTCCTCCTCCTCCTCTTCCTCTTCTTCTTATTTTTCCTATTATTATTAGTATTATTATTATTATTATTAGTATTATCATTATTACTATGATTAAACGTATTATTATTATTGTTATTATTATTATTGTTAATAGTATTAATAGTATTGTTATTACTATTATCATCATTATTTTTATTATTTATGTATTATTATTATTATTATTGTTAGTGTGTTTATTCTTATTGTTGTTATCATTATTATGAGTACCATTAGTAGCATTACTCTCATTAATATTATGGTTATTATTAGTATTATTATTACTACTATTATTATTATTATGATTATGATTATGGTTACTATTATTGGTATTATTACTATTAGTATTATCATTCGTATTATCATTGTTATTATTGTTAATAATATTATCATAAATACTAATATTATTACTACTATTATTATTAGTGTTATCACTATAATTATTATTGGTAGTATTATTATTGTTAGTATTATTAATGTTATTATTATTATTAATAATAATAATATAATTATGATTATCATTATTATTATATTGTTAGTATTAGTATTAATAACAATTATTACTATTAGTATTCCTCCTCGTCCTCGTCCTCCTCCTCCTCCTCCTCCTCCCTCCTCGTCCTCCTCGTCCTCCTCCTCCTCCTCCTCCTCCTCCTCCTCCTCCTCCTCCTCCTCCCCCTCCTCCCTCCTCCTCCTCCTCCGCCTCCTCCTCCTCCTCCTCCTCCCTCCTCCTCCTCCTCCTCCGGCCGGGAGCGCGCCTATGCCCAGGGTGGGTCCTCGGACAGCGGGCAGCCGGGACACCGACATCGGTCGCGCTTCGGAGGCCCCTCGTCGCCACGGCCCGGAGCGCAGCCCAGAAAGCGGGGCAGTCTGCGTCTGGGGACCGATCTTGTAGGGATCTCGTTGCAGGAAGAGGAGGAGGAGGAGGAGGAGGAGGAGGAGGAGGAGGAGGAGGAGGAGGAGGAGGAGGAGGAGGAGGAGGAGGAGGAGGGGCAGGAGGAGAAGGGGTGAGAAGGAGGAGGAGGAAGAGGAGGAGGAGGGGGAGGGCTGCAGTTGTCTACCGGCCCGTGCCTCACGGCGTTGCTGTCGGCCGCCAGCGGCCACTTGGCCGCCAGCTTGATGGGCGACACCCTCAGGTCGCCCATGAACGCCACGGCCCTCAGCGGCGGCGCGACTGGGGAGGAATCGAGAGGTAGCAGGCCGTCTCAGAAGGCGACGGGGCCTCTCAGAAGAGCCCTCGGGCCTTCTGAGAAGCGCTCTCTGTCTTCGGATCGGGCTTGAGAACTTCTCCGAAGAAAAGAAGGCTTCTGACAAGCCCCGCCCCTCCTCACTTCCCCCCGGTCTCGCCGCCGGCCTCAGGAACGAGGCGTCCGGCTCGAGGTCCATGAGGCTCGACGGATTCCAGCAGTCGATGTTGGTCTTGCCGTCTACGCGGAGGCCGATGCCGGCACGCCCCGGCACGTCGTCGCTGCAGCTCTTCAGGCGTCCGATGACCAGGAAGTGCTTGTCGCCTGGCTTGGGCACCGAACTCGCCGGCCCAACGGGGCAGAAGCGTGCGGAAATCTCCGATAACAGGAGCCCCCCAAGAAGCCATCAGGCCTCATCCTCACTCCCACCTCTTCCTCCTCCTCCTCCTCCTCCTCCTCCTCCTCCTCCTCCTCCTCGCCGCGAGCACACCAGAATACGCCCCCAGAGCTGCAAGTGTGGGCCAGCGGAAGGAGCGCAGCGACCAGATAAAAAGGCAGGACGGTGGCGTCCGAGCTGGTGCTGTTGACGCCCTCGTTCTTCTGGAAGAGGTCGAAGTGGAGCTGGTCCGCGGGAAGGTCAGGGGAACGAACAATGACATGGATATAAAAACTCGGAGGTCCGCGCGGATTTCTCGGATCGGCGCTGGGGCCCCCTGGCGGCGCCTCCGGCGCCGCCCCTGGCGCGCTGCGGAGGGGGGTCCAGCGGATCCAAGAAATCCGCGAGGGCCTCAGAGTTTTTATCTTCATGTCATGTCTCGTTCCCCTCATGGTTGTAGCAGCCCGAGCCGCCCGGAGGATCCAGCGCGGGCGCGACCGACTCCGTGGGCCCAGTCATCAGCCGGGCAAAGGTGGCTCCGCGGCCGTTGATGAGGCGGATGTCTGGGCGCTGGCACCCGTCGTCGTTGACGGCCTCGAACCACATCTCCAGGGACCACTCCTGGTTGCTGTGCGCCGCAGCGGCCACCTCGGCCAGCGCGCTGTCGTCCCAGTCGCAGGCGGGCTCGTAGGCCTCCACGATGGCCCTGCATGGGAGAAAGGGCCTGCCAGACTCGCCCAGAGAGGTCCAGGTGACGTCGCCGAGGCACTGCAGAAGCGCCTCCTCGTCGCCCTCGTGCTCGGAGCAGTCCACCGGCTCGCACTTCTCTATGCCCAGCCTGTCGCACTCGACCTGGTGCACCACCGCGTTCTTGCCGCACTGGATCGCCTCCTTCGCCGGCGTCGTCGACCTGGCGAGGCAGACGGAGCCCCAGGTGCCCTTGCTCCTGATCTCCACCTGCTGGGTCCACAGCTGCGCCGACGCCCCCTCGGCGGACGACCCGAGGCACCTCTCGGCCGACCTGCAGGCCACCATGCAGTGCTCCCTCGCTCCCGCGTGGGCCTCGCAGTTCTTCCGCCCGGCCAGCCGCGCGTTGTGGTACCAGAGGCAGGTGTTCCCGAACTCGTCGCTCCACAGGTCGTCGTCCACGAACTCGCTCGGCAGACGGCAGCCCCGCTCCTCGCGGAGCGTCCTGCCTGGCACCACCGGGTCTGGGTCCTCCTTGAAGAGCTTCCAGACCTCGGCCTCCGAGAGCGCCCGATCGTAGACCCTGACGTTGGCCACCTCGTCCGTAATGGGCCAGGCGTTGCCAGGGGGGCGATCCTGGGTAGGGTCAGGTCGGGCGTGTCCCCCTACTGGCGCATTTTGCACGAAAAATTGAAAGAATGCAAAATACACCGAAAATTATCAAACATTTTTGTCCCAACCCTCCTTGGTTGGGCATTCGTTTTGACTACTAGAGCACTGTGGTCGCCTCCTCCTCGTCCTCCTCCTCCTTCTTCTCCTCCCTCTCCCGCCTCCCGTCTCCCGCTTCCCTCTTGTCTGCTCTTGCCTTGTGCGGACCTCGCCATCCCTGGGGGAGCTGCGATCTGCGACGCTGTCGCCACTTTCGAGGGCTGCTGGTGGGTCCAGCGGACTGAGGCACCGCGGGGACCTGAGCGAGACCTCACCGTCCCTGGGGGGCTGCGATCTGCGACACTGTCGCCACTTTCGAGGGTTGCTGGTGTGTCCTGCGGACTGAGGCACCGCGGGGACCTGAGCGAGACCTCGCCGTCCCTGGGGGGCTGCGATCTGCGACACTGTCGCCACTTTCGAAGGCTGCTGGTGGGTCTCGCGGACTGAGGCACCGCGGGGACCTGAGCGAGACCTCGCCGTCCCTGGGAAGCTGCGATCTGCGACACTGTCGCCACTTTCGAGGGCTGCTGGTGGGTTCTGCGGACTGAGGCACCGCGGTGACCTGAACGAGACCTCGCCGTCCCTGGGGGGCTGCGATCTGCGACGCTGTCGCCGTCCCTGGGGGAGCTGCGATCTGCGACACTGTCGCCACTTTCGAAGGCTGCTGGTGGGTCCTGCGGACTGAGACACCGCGGGGACCTGAGCGAGACCTCGCCGTCCCTGGGGGGCTGAGATCTGTGACACTGTCGCCACTTTCGAGGGCTGCTGGTGGGTCCTGCGGACTGAGGCACCGCGGGGACCTGAGCGAGACCTCGCCGTCCCTGGGGAGCTGCGATCTGCGACACTGTCGCCACTTTCGAGGGCTGCTAGTGGGTCCTGCGGACTGAGGCACCGCGGGGACCTGAGCGAGACCTCGCCGTCCCTGGAGGGCTGCGATCTGCGACACTGTCGCCACTTTCGAGAGCTGCTGGTGGGTCTTGCGGACTGAGGCACCGCGGGGTCCTGAGCGAGACCTCGCCGTCCCTGGGGGCCTGCGATCTGTGACACTGTCGCCACTTTCGAGGGCTGCTGGTGGGTCCTGCGGACTGAGGCACCGCGGGGACCTGAGCGAGACCTCGCCGTCCCTGGGGGGCTGAGATCTGCGACGCTGTCGCCACTTTCGAGGGCTGCTGGTGGGTCTCGCGGACTGAGGCACCGCGGGGACCTGAGCGAGACCTCGCCGTCCTTGGGAAGCTGCGATCTGCGACACTGTCGCCACTTTCGAGGGCTGCTGGTGTGTCCTGCGGACTGAGGCACCGCGGAGACCTGAGCGAGACCTCGCTGTCCCTGGGGGGCTGCGATCTGCGACACTGTCGCCACTTTCGAAGGCTGCTGAACTCCTGCGGACTGAGGCACCGCGGGGACCTGAGCGAGACCTCGCCGTCCCTGGGGGTGGGGGCTGCGTTAGTAACCACTACGACGCCCTTATGTTTTGATCGGGGGCCTGCGAGCCTTCCGATCGCTGCCCGCAAAATCACATGCGTCCATGTTACGTCATCACACCCGTTGTAGCAATCCTGATGTATTTGTGCCCCGCATTGCGCAAGGGTTGGGTACGTCGCCAAGGGTAATGTCTAAATCGTCCACAGACTATTTTTGGATTGTTTTTGAAAATACCTCCTGTAGAGGGACAGGCCCGACTGAAGGGTAGGGCCCCTGCAGAAAATGCAAGGCCGCCTGGAAGAGTCGGCCGGGCGGAGAGCCCGCCCCCATGGCGGCTGCACGGCACACGTCCGCGAGGACCAGTGAGCTCCGCACGGCGTACGAGTCGCCACGCCGTTTGGATCTGGGGGGGATGGGCAAGCTTTGTCGGAGGGAGTCTGGGGGGAAGACGACCCAGACATGATCGCGTCGTTAAGAAATCAGGACGGCGGGTTTTCGCCTCGCCGAGCCCCAGGACCGCCAAAAAACAACTCACGATGAAAAACCGGCCCCGGGGAAGTGGTCCGGACCTGGTCCACGCACCAAAAAACTGGAGCAGCCGGTTGTCGAGAGGAGTCTGGGGGGAAGACGCCGAAGTCAGGAATTTTGGACGTGTGATCAAGCCCTGCCGGAGGGTCAGCAACCCCCACCCAGATCCGCTGCCGTGCCGGCGCGGCAGCGGCGTGCTGAAATGCCTGCAGGCTTCCTGGCAAAGTCTTCTATTTTTGGACGCCCGAAATGGGTACGGAAAAAATGGGTACAATACCCAACAACAAAAGTTGTCCCAAACCAACAGCGGCCGCTGTTGGGCAGGCGGCCTCCTGTCTCAAGTAGACACAGGCCGCGGCGGCGTGGACAGCGAGTCCTGTTCAGAATGATCAAGAACTGCTGTTGGGTATTGTACCCACTCTTTCCGTGCACATGCCGGTCGTCCCGATCTGTATTCTTCCCGGGGACCCCTTCCCCTCCCCTCCCCCTCCCCCTCCCTCCTCCTCCTCCTCCTCCTCCTCCTCCTCCTCCTCCTCCTCTCCTCCTCCTCCTCCTCCTCCCTCCTCCTCCTCTCCTCCTCCTCCTCCTTCCTCCTCCTCCTCCTCCTCCTCCTCCTCCTCCTCCTCCTCCTCCTCCCGTTTCGCCGCGTGCCTCCCCCCCCGCATGCAGGGCCCCCGGGCGCCCCTTGCGGCCCTTGCCCCGGAGTCCTGGGGCGCCCCGAGGCTCCCCGAGAGCGCGCCGAAGCCCGCTCCCAGAGCCCCACAGGCGGGCTCGATCCCATGGAGGAGGGAAGAACAGGCAATGGGGCGAGGAGGAGGAGGCGGAGGAGGGGAGGCGAGGTGAAAGAAGTCAGAGCGCGCGGGTCGAGCCGACGCGACTGGGTGGGCCCACGGGCCCTCGCCCTCGCCCCCGAGTCCCCCCTCCGCCGAGCCCCCCGGCCCGTGGCGCGGCCGGCGGCGGAACTGCGGAAGGCAGCTGGAGAATCATCCCGTCCAGAGTCCCCGACCAACTCGAGCAGTGGAACAAAAATCACGGCAGGAGATGTGTCGCAATTTTCGGCCCGCGGGGGCGCTTCCCGGGCCCCCAGGAGCGTCAAACAACGACTCAGGATGAAAAACCGGTCCCGGGGAGCAGGTCGAAACCTCTGGGGGTCGACATAATCACGACGTCGGGGGTCTGGGACATGAGATCGCGTCCAAGCTGGCGCGATTGGAGTTCCATTCCTG